ATGTCTAACAAGCTTCCTAATGATATCATTCACAAACCATAAAATTCATCATCTTAAAGAATATGAATCAGTAGGTTTTAGTATATTCACAAAGCTCTACAAACATCACTACTATCATTTCTGAAATATTTTCATTGCTGCAAAAAGAAACCCTAGGAGCTGGGGATTTAATGGGGCTGGGGATTTAGCTCAGCGGCAAAAGCGCCTGCCTGGTAAGTGCAAGGTCATGAGTTCGGTTCCCGGTACCGGAGAAAAACGAAAAACCAAAAAAAAAAGAAACCCTATACCGAGTCCCTCTTTATTATTCCACCCGCTAACCTGTGGGAAACCACCAGTCTACTTTCTGACTCTATGAGTTTTCCTATTGTGAGTGTTTTGTATAGGCAGAATTATATATAATATGTTTTTGTATCTGGGTTCCTTCCTTAATATAATGTTTCCAAGGTTTACCCATGTTTTAGTATGTGTCAGCGCTTGGGCCATTCTTTTTTTTTATTACCAAGTAGCAGTCTGTGTGTGTATATTCATACATACAGTGTAGGTTATATACCTATTCATTAATTGATGATGGAAGGAGGGAAGAGAGGAGGGATGGAGCACGGGTAGGAAGAAGGAAAGAAGGTAAGAAAGAAAGAAGAGAAAGAAAGAAGGAAGGAAGGAAGCAATCTAATGAACGTGTATACAATAGAGTACTATGCAGGCAAGCTTTTAATCCAGAGTCTCACAGCAGAATATAAAAATGTTCATGTTTTAGTAGAAAATCATTTGTCACAGCAGGAAACCAGAGGATGCCCAAACAGGACTTCTATGAATGGATATGGATGGAATTTTAGGGTATACCGTCTAGTGAAAAAAATGCAAAATATTTGTTTAAAATAGAAGGTAAACATCAATATGTATGCGTACATAAGTAAACACACATAACAGTATATACACATATATGTGCGTTTGTGTACACACATGTAATATGCTGACCTTTGCAAAAAGTAACAATACAATGGAAAATTAATAAATGAGTATCTACAGAAGGTGAATGAGAATGGGATAGGAGGTACAAAATACAAGGGACATTTTTTCATTACTCTTTTTTATACAGCTTGAATACTGGAACAAAATATTTTACATATTCAAAAATTACAATCAAATAAAAATATGGAGTATTCCCAATATTTCCAGGAAGATAGACATACTTATTCCTATTCTTCCCCACTAAGTGCAATGATAAACTTTAGACATTGTATATGAAACAAATAGCAGACAATTCTAAAAGTTGGAAAGAAAAAGTCTGGCACACTAGAGACCTTGGTACCCAAGCAACTACATGGCAGTGTGTTCCCAGGTGTGTGTGTGTGTGTGTGTTTGTGTGTGTGTGTGTGCATTTCCCCTCCACATTATGTGTTCCCTCAGGACACATTACATTCAAATGTCTGAAAAAGAAAAGAAAAGAAAAAAAAATCTTGAAGGCAATCAGAAGAAAATAACACTTTACCTATAACAACAACAACAACCAAAAAAAAAAAAAAAAAAGCAAGTCAAATGCAAATGGATTCCTCAAGAGAGCCCATGGAGGCTACAGAAAGTGGCAAATTTCTTTTTCAATTATTGAAAGAAAAAAAGAACAGTTAATCTAAAATGCCAAACCTGATGAAAGTATCCTTCAGGAATGAAAGAGAAATCAGGGCATTCGCAGATGAGGGAAAGCCATGAGAATTTGTCACTAGCAAATAATAATGGCTAAGGGATGTTCCCAAAGCAAAAAAGAAACAATAAAACACAGAATTTTGGAAAATGAAAAAAGAGGAAAGAATACATTAGATAAAATATAAATATTTCCTTCTTTTCTTAAGCTTCAAAATTAAATCTGACAGGTAAAACTGATATATAACCATCTGATATGGTTCTAAATACATCTAGAGGAACTACTTTATGACAATTGTATCATAAATGGGGAAATCCAAAGGGAAATGAAGGGAAATATGGCTTCTATAGTTTCCTCAAGTAGTCAATGGTGATCAACAAACTATAACAAGCTATGTGGCCTCTTTCCCCCAGAATAAGACCTAGCTAGAAAATAATCAATCTTGAAAACTGGAGATGAAAAAAGCCCCAATCAACCCATCCTTGCCTTATTGACCATCATTATTCTCTTGATCCACAGCTACCCAGTAAGGCAGGCAAGACAAGGATAGGATGATTGGGGCTGGCATTTTTCTTCTCTAGTTTTCAAGGTTGATTACCATCCAGCCAGATCTTAGTTTCAGGGAAACACAGTATACATAACCTAATGCCTATATCAACTACTAAAAAGATACACAAGGAGAACACATACACATATTCTACGTAAATCAAAATCAAATTCTAATAATTGGTCAAGTAACTCACAGGACAGCAGGAAAATGAAAAACTTGGAGAGAAAAGAGAAAACTAAAAACAAAATTGTGTAGTTAATCTCTAACATATCAATAATTACCTTAAAATTTGAATAGTCAAATACATCGATTAAATCAGATTGTGAGAGTGACTTAAAAAGCATAGCTGGATAAAGAGAGGGACGTGGCTCAACGGTAAAATAATTGCCACGTATAGGCAAGGTCCTTGATTTGGTGGCCACTACTGCAAAAAAAATAAACAAAAGACCAAACATATATCCAGTGTACCAGCACTCACTTCGCATTTAACAGTACAGACAGGTTGAGAATAAAAAGATAAGTCATACAAACACTAATGAAAGAAAATACATATGGCTATATTAGTATCAGATAAAGTAGAGTTTAGGGCAGAAAATTACCATAAACAAAGATAGAAACTAGGGGGGAAAGTCAATCTAACAAGAAGACATAGCGATCCTAAATATATACACACCAAACAATAAATTAAAAATACAGTAATTCCCCAACTTACAAATGAGTTCCATTCCAGGAGAGTTGTTTGTAAGTCAGATTCGTTTGTAAGCTGACAGTGAGCCTTACACAGTACACCTGTGAAAGCTCACAACTTGAATGTTTGTTAATCAGGGACTCACTGTTTATATCCAGCAAAAACTGATAGACTTGGAAGGAGAGATCAACAACTGGATGCAACCGTTAACAGAACATAAAGACAAAAAACAAGAAAGACTATTTAAAAAGCTTTTTATCTAGAGTACAGTGAATAAATGAGATCTAACAGACATACAAAAACCACTCAACATAGTGTTCATAGTACTTGGGCCATACCCTAAACCATAAAACAAATCTCAAGCATGTTATAAAAAATCATGTAAACATGGAATCAAACTAAAAATCACATACCAGGAAGGTAATGAGAAAACATCCAAACACTTGGAAACTAAATAACACTTGTAAATAATCTATGAGTCAGAAAGAAGTCTTATGGGAAATCAAAAGAGAAAATGATCCTCTGTCCTTCTCCCCCTCCCCTACACCTGTCAGTGAGCTGCCTCCAGCCGTTGCTGAGCAAGGCATTCACACATGCATGCACATGCAGTCTCCACACATGCAGAGTGAAAGTCACCACAAGAACACACTGTGGGGCAGAGTTCCTCAAGGTGCACAGACCTGCAGGCGTGCAACCCAGGGACCTCATAAGCAGTCCCAGGAAAGAAAGTTGACTGCCCTGTAGAAAGAGTAGCCAGGTCCTCTCCAGACAGAGAAGCACCCAACAAAGGATATATTCCATGTTTATGGGGTCTTAAAGGACAAAATCATTAATTATTTATGAGTTTTTCCCAAAAGGGGCAAGAGTGACTACACAAGGTGAAAGTTAGTTACTGTGCAAGTGTAAATTTGCAGCGGATCCAAAATGTGCTTTAAAAGTGTGTCATGTGCATAGTCTAGGTGGAGATTTTCTTAGGGAAATGTATTATAATGAAGGCACGAAGTTTAGGATAAGCTCTTAGTCAGATTTGTTGCTGGCTTTCCTTGTGGCAGTCTCATCCAGTTTGCCCAAGCACTCTACATTCTCAAAAGGACTATGATGGCTTGCTCTCTTCATTAACATCTTGACTTACTTTTCCCTCTTATCCGGAAGGAGGCAACTGCTGGCTTTCTCTGAGGCTGCCACTTCAAAGTACCATTACCATCTTCTCATGAAACTAGAGGCTAATATTTTGAGGAAATTCATTTTAAAAACTCAAAACCCATTCAAAGTTTAAGGAAGAAAAGTTAATTTTTTCTATATTAATATGACAATAAGTCACATTGGAAGCAGTTATTACTTTCAAGACTCTCTCCTATTGATGTCTTTAATTTCAAAACTATACTATATAAAACCTAGTGGTATAAGCTCAAAAATTATTCTAAATTGAACTACAATTAAAACCATGCTCTGAATCTTTTTCTTTTTACAATGGAATACTTATAATGTATTAATTAGAGATTTTTCCATCATCTCTTGTTTGTTTCAGATAGGGGTCTTTCTATGTTGCCTAGGCTAGCCTTGAACTTCTAGCTCAAGTAATCCTCCTGTCTCAGTTTCCTAAAGAACTGAAACTACAAGCAAATGCCAAAGTGCCTGGTTCCATCAGGACTTCTGAGTTTACAGGTAAAACTACCGTGAAAATAGTTCCCTTATACAAAACAGAAGGACTACATTTTCAGCGGCATGTATTTGCTAATTAAAAACTTTATTGATATATAAAGTTCACCCCTTCACATTATACAACATTATACAAAATACCATTATACAAAAATTCATCCCTTCACATTATACAACTTAAAAGTATTTAATACCTTTATAATTATATAATCACCACCACCATCACCTTATTTTATTTATTTTTGTTTTGTTTTTTGTTTCATTTTAGAATATTTTCTTTTTTTTTTTTTTTTTTTTTTTTTTTTTTTTTTTTTTT